GAAAGAAAGAAGCCAAGCCCCTGCTTGCAAGAGGAGGGCACTGCTGACTCACCCACCAGCCTACCTCCTGGGCGGAAGGGGGGAGACAACGGGGGGGCGTACAGAGGTAAACGGGGCTTGCTCCCAAAGGGGTGGGGTCCTCGGGCAGTTATCTGGAGCAGAGAACAGAGGCGCACGCCCGCACAGACACTCAAGGTCACCGGCCGTGTAGGGAGAGAAGCCAAGGAGAGGGCTCTGCCAAGAGGGAGGGGAGGAAGAGGGGGATGCGGGCACAAGGGGGGCATCTCCAAACAAGGAGCACCAGCAGAAGGAGAGACAAGCAGCTAAGTAGGTCGAGATTTGTGGGGGGGGGAGACACCTTTCCAAGCCCCGATGCTGGCCCGGCCCCTCCGCTTTGCTCCTTTCCAAAGACCGCCCTTGGCCACTGTCTCAAGCTCCTTCTTGCCAACAACGGGCTTGCAAGGTAGGCTGGCTTGAGCCTCTCTGGGGAAGATGGAGGGGGCGAGAAGCACTGGGAAGTTCAACGGAGACCGAGGGAAAGAGACCTGGCTTGTCTACGGCAGCAAACAAGGGTGTTTTTTTTAAAAATGGGGCCTGACCTAACCAACAGGGTCCCCTACCTGTATTCGTGTCACCCACTGTTGTTAACACAGCCCCTGTCTTATACGCACGAGGAAGGACAAATAATGGAAGAGCTGATAGCAAGAGCCTGGCCTGAAGGAACCGTCCTGCCAGTCCCAGGTCAGGGCACGGCCCACCATTAAAAAGCCCCCCTGAAAACTGGGTTTTTGATCCAAGCACGAGTGCCCAATCATCGCATACCCCCAGCGATGGATTCGGCAACAAGCACCGAGTCCCTCCTTCCTCCTCGCTGGGCTTTGGGTGTCGAGCCCAAAACATGCCTCACCAGGCTGTTTTTTTAAAATCCACTCAAGTTTCTGGCCCTCATGCTTCCAGTTGCAGGCCCAGCACCCCGCAAAGCCTGAGGTGCTCCCCCTCCCAAGCTAGACAGCTGCTGATAAAGAACAACAGTCCTTTCACAAGACCCGACTGCCCCCAGGGGCTGATGACTAAAATCTGGCAAACGTAGGCAAGCAGGCGGAGTGGATGACACCCACAGAAGTGGGGATGACCCCGGCGCTCTGCGAGGGTGGCCGGAGCAAAGCTGGGCTCCAAATATGGTCTCCTTCCTGGCCTCAGGAAGCTTCTCCCTCCCACCAGGCAGACCGTGAGAATTGGCTCCTTTTCTGCTCCTTGACACCAGGCAAAACTCTTCCCCCTGCCGTGCAAAGGGGCTCTTTAGGGGAAAGGGCCTGGGATACCCCAAATTGAAGGGGGAGCCTCGGGCGAAGCTCGCGCGATCCCAAATGATGCCCGGCTCTCCGTGGCCCAGGCAGGACCACCCGCCCAGCCTAGATGATGGGATTTCAATAGAGGGATCCCAAGAAAAGAAGGGGTAAAGGAAGGAGAGTTCAGAACTAGGGCTAGAGACCAACTCCCGCAGGCTTGAGGTGAGGGACGGGGCTGACCCCCAACTACCATTGCTTGGCACGGAGGTGTCATTCCTGCCCATCGGGGCCTGGAGGAGGAGGAGGTCAGAAAGGGTTTGCTCGGGGCTCAAGGTCCAGCCATGGGGGGGGGTGGAGGAGAGAAGGAGGGCAGTGGCATAGGGACAGGAAATAGGACACGGCGTAACCCAGTTGCTCCTTCCTCTGAGGAAATGGGAGACAGGAGCAGGGCTGAGCATCTCCTGCCATGGGAGGCAGGAAACCCAGGAGGCGGCGGGAAACAGCAAAATGGAGAAAGTCAAGGTGAACACCACAAACACACACATACACACACCAGCAATGGCTGGATGTGCTGCGGAGCCGGCTGGAGGGCCAAGAGGCCAGAAGGCGCCCACCTCGGGAGGGAAAAAGAGCCTTTCGGGACCGCTTGGCCCAGGGGAAAGAGTTACTCACGGCTCTAAGAACCTGCCAGCTTTCCAGATGTGCCTGACTACAGCACCCATGCTCCCCAACCACTCTGGGGCAAAGGGAGGCCATAAATGGACACACACACACCCAGAGAATACCAGCTTGGGATCAGTGAAGTCAAGTCAAGGTGAACACCACAAACACACACATACACACACCAGCAATGGCTGGATGTGCTGCGGAGCCGGCTGGAGGGCCAAGAGGCCAGAAGGCGCCCACCTCGGGAGGGAAAAAGAGCCTTTCGGGACCGCTTGGCCCAGGGGAAAGAGTTACTCACGGCTCTAAGAACCTGCCAGCTTTCCAGATGTGTCTGACTACAAAGTCAAGGTGAACACCACAAACACACACATACACACACCAGCAATGGCTGGATGTGCTGCGGAGCCGGCTGGAGGGCCAAGAGGCCAGAAGGCGCCCACCTCGGGAGGGAAAAAGAGCCTTTCGGGACCGCTTGGCCCAGGGGAAAGAGTTACTCACGGCTCTAAGAACCTGCCAGCTTTCCAGATGTGTCTGACTACAGCACCCATGCTCCCCAAGCACTCTGGGGCAAAGGGAGGCCATAAATGGACACACACACACCCAGAGAATACCAGCTTGGGATCAGTGGCCTGACAGGTCCTAAGCCGTAGCAAGGTTTCGATATGATTTCGCTTCCGTTTTTCTTTTGTTTGCTTGCCTGCCTAGGTGGCCATTCTTTATCCACACACCCAAACACATCTCCGTGCATAGACAGAATGGTTTAAAAGCCCTCTCTGGCCAAATAACCCTAACGTGCATAGACAGAATGGTTTAAAAGCCCTTTTTGGCCAACTTAGGCTAGACTTAGCCACAGTCTGAAAATATTTTTTAAAGGCACTCACCTCAAGATAGAAAAAAGTGAGATTTCAGAAAGAGAAGGGAGGGGAAGGAAAACGAACAGGGGGGTGGGAAAGGTATGAAAATAATGTGGAAACAGAAAGAGATTAACAATCGCTCCACGGTTTGGAAACAGCGAGAGGCTGGCCCTCGGGAAATTCATTTTCTGGCTCAGAGGGAGACGTGGGCTCAAGGGCAAGGACACGGACTGATCCAGAAGGTGGGACTTGTCGGCAGGACGAGAGGCGGCACAAGGAACCGAAAGGTTCAATATTATCCACGGTTTCTGGCATCCGCAGCGGCACTGGAAGCCACCTCCCGCAGATACCGGGGCCCTTACTGTCCTTGTTTCCTGGCTGCAGCCCCATTAGCACAGCAACCTGCCCAGCGAAATAATACTCAGGCAGCTGAAGGGCTCCTCAGTTCACATTTCTCCTTTCTGCATCCAAAAACCAGCGAGCCGCCTGACGAACGCACCCCCCGCACCGCAATCGATCTCCAACAGGACCCCTGTATCCGCAGTTTCACTTATCCACAGTCTGACAATATTAAAAGAAAATACCCAGAAATACGTATTTCCACAACGCAGCTCCCAAAACCGGCCACTAGAGGAAGCCAGAGGCCATGCCATGTATAGGGTTCACTATTATCCACAGTTTTTGGCATCCGTGGGGGGACACAGAACCGATCCTCCACGGATATGGAGTGGAGGTCCTACTGTTCTTATCTCTTCAAGGAAAAAAGAACTTCTGCATTAAATAGTGAGTTCCCTGGAAGGTGAAGACAGAAGCCCTAGCCTGCATTAGAAAACCAGGGGGGCTCACCGACACTGAAGGGGAGGGGAGAGAGAGGGAGGGAGAGAGAGAGCAGAGGCTGCCCCAGCACCACAGCGAGCTGGTCCTCCACCACACCCAGGGACCTAACGGCACCAGCTCTTACCGTATACTCCATCCCTGGCAATTTGGATGCCGGACCAGCCCCTCGTCTCGGGAATCAAACCTGCAGTTCAGTGACAAAGAGGAGTTAGCGAGGATTGCCCGGAGCACGCTATGTGCCGGGGAAGTGGGGGCCAGGAGGGCAGTCCACTGAGGAGAGAAGAGCCCATCTGCCACTAAACAGAGCTAGAAAAAAAGCAGAACGGTGGTCTTTCCAGGGCCAAGCGATGGGGGCGGTAGATGAGGCAAGGCTGACCCCCCCAGCTTGCATCAGAGAGACCAACCACCGCCCCAAATCCAAACTCTGCTCTGCAGGCCTACAAGGGTCCACAAAGGGGCTCGGGCAGCTGAAATTCCGCGGTGCACCGGATTTTGGAGGTAGGGCATTTTGGGTGGTGGGCTTCAGTGGGCCAGAAACACCCCCTTGGGGTCCTGGGTCACCCCAATC